AAACAGAGAGATGCGTTGTTGCGTCTAGGAGGCGCCTGCGGCGAACGTCCACTCTTAATCAAAGTTCTGGAGGAAATTAGAACTGAGGATGACGTGATCAGGTCCCGGAGACAAAGAAAATTCTGCGAAAGGTACTTCGGACTCCAAGGTCGAAGTCAGGGATCGTTCTCTAAAAACAAGGATGGATGTGCCGTTTACTTTTTGCAAGAGAGCGCAAGCAGCTTGGCCATGTTCGATGGGAGTTGCAGGAAGGATACTGACCTCCGCTCTGGTGTCGACCAGTTGTTGGAAGCCATTTGGCTGGTCACTGACGAAGAAAACACGGCAACCCGTTTCTTCCGCACTGTTCGCCGACTTCAGTTCTGGGAACCCTTTTCCCGATGCCGTTGTGCAGGGCGGTTTGCACCTTTTTGCTTGGTCTCCGAATGTGTAAGGCTAACAGCAGATGTTGGTGGTAGATGACCGGAAAACGAGATATGCTGCGGGGGCCCGAACGGCGTTGTGGAGATCTACCGCGTTTAGTTTGGAACGCAGCAACAGCTTTTGTCAGGTTCTGGATATCCGACTGGCGATTGCAGAATTTGACGCTGCACGGGGAAGCAGAGGCTGCACTTACAGTCGCCTGTTGTGTTCAGGGAGGAGCCTGGGTGCTGGAAACTGTAAGACATGCCACCTCGAGCACCTTGTCCGCGAGGGCCGTGAGCTCGTGTAGTGGGATGTCGCCCGCCGCCGCGGTGGGTGCGCTGCTATACAGCAGGTGGTTGACGGGTACCCTCCGCCGTTGTCGTTTTTCTCACTAACGAGCAAAATTAGAGTGTCTTCGGTTGTGAGCGCTTGGCAGTGTACATGGCGGTAAGGCGTTTTTGCCATTTTGTGGAAGATCGCGACTTCGCCATAATGCCCGACCACAAACCGTTTGTGCACGCCTCCCGCAACTTGCGGTCGGACGGTGGAGCGCATCCCCAACGGGAGCTGCATCAGGTGTTCCGCATTGCAGAATTAACTTCTGACATTTGCCACATTTCAGGTCGCGACAACGTCGTTGCTGGCGCTCTCTCCAGAGCGAAAATTGGCGAACTCGCATTCTCAACAGTGGTCGAATTCATGGAAATGGCAAGTGCTCTGGAGACAGACAGCGAGCTGCAGGACATGCGTGACGCGCCAGGTTGACTCGAGCTCGAAATTATCGCTCTACCGATATGCGACACGCAGTTTCGGTGGGTCATCTCCACCTGAACACTTGGACCTTTACGTGGCCGAATCTTATCGACGCAAGGTGTTCGACACCCTTCACAGGCTCTCCAATCTAGAAAGCACGGCAACCCAGCGCCTGCAGACCACGAGATTCGTCTGGCCCTCCATCAACCGGGATATGCGTCAGTAGGCAAGGGCGTGCCTTCAATGCCAACGCTCCGAGGTTCACCGCCACACAGTCACGCCCCTAGTTAACTTCCCACTGCCGGACAACAGATGCGAGCATCTGCACCTAGATATCGTAGGACCCCTTCTACCATCCAACAGTTACACGCAGCTTCTCACCATTGTGGATTGATTTGCTCGATGGCCAGAAGCCGTCCAAATGACGGATGCTACCGCGCCAACCGCAGCTCGCTGTTTTATATGGAAATAGATATTTCGCTTAGGTGTGCCGTCCAGGGACAAAACTGACCGGGCTCGGCAGTTTGACTCAAATCTGTTCAGGGAACTGATGCAACTCCTCGGCACGACGCATCTACACACCGCGGCCCACCAGACTTCAGCCAACGGTCTCGTCGATCGACACCATCGCCGCTAGAAGTCCGCCCTCACTGCCCACGGCGATCGCACCCACTGGACAGAGAAATTATACCGCTAGTTTCCTCGGCAACCGCTCGGCGTATAAGTCCGACCTCGAGTGCACATACGCGGAGCTGGTGTACTCACATGCTGGAGGGGGAGTTTTTCGATTAAGTGCAGGATCGACTACCATGGCTCACAAAGTAAGTCAACCGACTGCCTGCAATGCTAGACAGCCTTGGACCAACGGCCACCAAAACATCAAACAGCCGCCACGCCCGCGTCAGCCAGAAGTTGACAGATTGCACGGATGTTTTTGTCAGGCACGCTTTCATCAAGCGTCCACTTCAGGCTCCCTATACGACGGTCCTTTCCGCGTGCGCAGATGGCGTGACGAAACACTTCACACTGCGGATTAGAGGCAGAGAGAAGGTGATTTGTTTGGACTGTATCAACCCTGCCCACATCGAAACGTCAGCCCCCAGGTCGACGACAACGGAATGTGCCAATAATGTCAAAGGAGGCAACCACAAGAAAACACCCGCGCCTTCGCCGTTCCTCTCTCCCAGGTCTGAAGCTTCTCCTGACCCCCTTGGCAAGCGGGGCTCTCCAACGGCCGGACGCAATGCCCTTCGGGGATGAACAACGCGAAGCGCAACATTCGCCTTCTCTAGTGTTGTAGATGCGGGACATTTCATAAATCACGGGGCGACACGACTCCGTCAAAAATCATGAAAGTTGAAGGGTCCGGCAGCCCGGCACTCCGACGTCTATTTGAATACCACCAAGCAAACATCACGATTTTCCTCCTCGCTTCTTCCTCTTTTCGGCGACCTCGGTGCTCGTCAGACTTGGCGTCACATGCCACCTGTCAATGCTGTCCATCTGTTCTGCCGGGCCCTCATATCCTTGGACCTGTTCCAAAATTTACTCGATCTTACTCCAGAGTAAGGATTTTGTACCTTTGCGTTCGAAAACCTACCCTCGTCCAGCGTCGCTCTATCTGTGTTACACTGTTATCACGTGACACGACCCGCCTAGGTAGCTTGGATATATTTTGGTAACACTTTAAACACCAGCCTTTCCCTCTCCCGTTTTCGGGGCCTAAAGAGCAGCGGAGGCCATGAGCGATTGGCCGACAGACAATAGAGCTTGTGAGTGTCTGTCCGGACCCACGTGATGAGCATGCTCAAGGGGGCCTTGAGCATGCTCATCACGTGGGTCCCCCATGGAGAAAACTGGCGACATATATATATATATATATATATATAAAAAAAACTCTCCCCACAATAAAAAAAAATGGACGGAAGCGGACCGCTGAACGACTTATGTCGGAGTCCTGTCGCCTCACGGTTCCTGCTTGGACAAGCCTTCAATGGAGCGGGAGTTCTTCGACGGCCGGAGTAAACAAGCTCCAAACGCAGACTGTTTTGCGCTGTAAACCACGCAAGCGGACTGCGGACGCAGAGGTCAAATCCGGCATTGCGCATTCCTCAGTGGGAGAACTTGGTGCCCGAGCATCTGGGGACTGTCGGCTCAAGAGGCAGACGTTTTAATAGATTCTTTATCGCACAAATTCAGCCAACTCGCCGAATTGTCTTCACGTGGACATAGTAACGTGAGCACGTGTACATAGATATTATGCAAGGGACTGTCGGCTCAAGAGGCAGACGTTTTAATAGATTCTTTATCGCACAAATTCAGCCAACTCGCCGAATTGTCTTCACGTGGACATAGTAACGTGAGCACGTGTACATAGATATTATGCAAGGGACTGTCGGCTCAAGAGGCAGACGTTTTAATAGATTCTTTATCGCACAAATTCAGCCAACTCGCCGAATTGTCTTCACGTGGACATAGTAACGTGAGCACGTGTACATACACTGTAAAAAATTACCGTGAAATAAACAGTCACCTGACCGTGAACGTCACGGGGCGCCCACCGTAAAAAAAAATACGGTATGTTGACAATGTTTTTCGAGTGAAAAGGGTACGGCGACGGGAGGAAAGAAGTGGAACGAGAGAAGGCACGGCGACCAGGGTTGCCAGGTTGGGCTATAAATAGCCAAATTGGGCTAGTTTTACTTGCAGTTGGCGGGAAAAAATGGTAGTTAGCTATTTGGCTAGTATTGGGCTATTTCTGACCTGTGCATTGGGCTATTTCTGACCTGTGCATTGGGCAATTTCTGACCTGTGCTGGAACCAAAATGCCTGAAAGCACTTGGGTTTATAGGTTCGAATGTATTTTTAAAGTAAGTTACGTGAACATTTGGTGCTTCAGTCCCTTAACCCCGATAAGTTTGCGTCAGCAAACAAATTCGTCTTCTTTTTGCGTGCCTTGTGCAATTGTTTACCTCCGAATGCAAGCATGTGGTGTTATTCCTCCATCTCAGCAAGTGACGGCGCGATTCCTTGCGGCCTTAACAGCACCTGTTCTGCGCATTCTTTAGGTTGTCTGAATTCTGCATAGTTCTCCCGTGACGTCATTCTGGTCACCAAGCGTCCCAATATAGACGCATTACACACGCGCCAAATTACAGCCGCCATTGCTGACCTTCTCTTGTCTTACCGAGATGCCGAGCAACTGAAACGGTCATTGACGAGCCTCTACAAAGGCCGATGCTTTAGAAAAGGACACAGTTGAGTCTAATATGGCAATAACCTGGCCTGCTATGGTAATGATGAAGTGAAATAAACGAAATAAGAGGAAACAAAAACTGAAGGTCAGTTATGGCGGCGTCCATGCACAGCTGCTGCAAAGCGTAGGTATGTTGTCATGCGCTTGTACGAGCGTTTGGGGAAGTTCGCCGAAAGTGCAAGGGACGCCATTTCTGGGGCATCTGATGGATAAAAACGTATTATGTGTCTCTTCTGCTCAAAATCCTCAAAATAAACGTTTCAAATGATAAGTTTTTTTTGGCTATTTTTGGGCTATTTTTCTGGATCGACATTTGGCTATTTTTGGGCTAGATCTCGTAGACGTTTGGCGGGTTGGAGTTCAAACACCTGGCAACCCTGACGGCGACGGAAGGAAAGAAGCGGAACGCCCCAAGCGAGGCGCGCTACACACTCCGCACCACGCTCCAGACACACGCACGGCACGCACGTGATGTGTTGGGGGCCTTCTGCGCCTGCGTCGTCGGGCTGCTCTCCAGTTCGCGGCTCGCGCCTTGACCCTCGCACAGCCCTCTCCATCGCGCTGCCTTGCTTTCGCACCTTCGCCTCCTTCGCCGCCTTGTCAGCTTTCGCGCCGTTAGCCGTTAGCGCCGTTCCCCCCGTCGGGTCGCCATATTTTGTTTCCCGAAGGAAGAAAACAAGGCGAGGAAAGTTTGCGGTAGGGAGCACGACCGTGGCTACTAAGACGGCTGACGGCGCAGTACCCGAGGCGTTTGGCGGGCCCGATAGTAAACGAACATAACGTGAGTATCATTTTGAATATGAATGTGGCAAGCACGATCTGATTCTGAGAAAATTAATGCCCGTTGCCGGCAAGATCGAGAAAGAGCCGACACCGACAAACCGGCAGCACGTGCGTTGACGGAGTGCATCGCTGGCCGGCTGTCGATCGTCGTTCGCGCTCCTTTTCGGGAAGGGAGCACAGGCGATTGAGAGCCAGCCAAAGATAGCTTCAGATTAATACTGCGCATTTTCGCGATTTGTCGGTCTTAGCTCTTTTCTCGCTTTAGTGAGGCGACGGCTTGAACAACCATGTTTGTTTGCCGTGTTTGTTCAAAGGGGTCAACCACGTTGGTCGAATATGTGCGTCATTATGACAGCCACGAGTTCGGAGCGCGGCAGATTCCATGTATGCACGCAACTTGTTGTTTGCAGTTCACTACTTATGTAGGGCTCAGATGTCACATCTTACGGTTTCATAGAGGTCAACTGCGCGCGAGTGGACCTCGGCTCGATTTAACGGGTGACGTAAACTTAACATTCGCGCTCCAAAAGAACAAGCAATACTAAAGCAATTGCACCCTACCAGTACAGAAATGATGTATTTAAATACTCTTTCTTTTGTCGGACTATTATTTAGTGGAACGCCCTGCCTGAGCAAGTTGTCAATTGTTGTAGTCCTCAATTATTTGAAGCACAGCTGAATGAATTGTTTGGTTAAATTTTGCATGTGGAAATGTTTATTTTTTGAGCATGCGTGGGTTGCTGCAACCTACCTGCGCTCGCCTCACACGGTGAGTGCATGATTGAGTTATTTCTGTGTGTTGTTTTTTCCCCTCCTGTGTAGAACGACAGGGCCAGAGTATTTCAAACGAATAAATAAATAAATTTCCAAATAAAAGCCAAAAGAAGTATGTCAAATCCTAGAACAATAAAAACCTAAAAACACTGATATCTAAATATAAAGCAGGTCTCAGAGTTTAAATCAAATACAAATCATTTGAAGTGTTTCACATGTCTGTCAGACAATTCATGAAATCTACAATGGCTACCTATAGCCCATAGCGACAACACACATTTCCGAAGTTGCTAGAAGTGACAAATCATTTGATTTCTTTGCAGCCAATAGAAGTATGTGCTAGATGTAACGATACAGCGTGTATCCATGCGAATGCGGTGGTCCTGTGCAACTGGGGAGAGAGAGGGTCTTCGAGGTTCCTGTTCAGTTTTGGTGGCACATGTCTCCCCTCCACTAACCAGGGAACATTTGCCTAGGTGCCTTCACGGCCCATCCTCTCCCTTTCTGGAGTAGAATTCTGACTGGCCTACACTCAAACAAGCTCACTCATAGTGGAGGGAAGGCAAATCGAGCCAAGGATCTCATCTCCTGTCGGCAACAAGTAATGTTAGAAGTGTTTGAAATGTGGGGGGGAGACTGGCAGTGAGGGTGGGAGGGACGAAGCTGGGCCCCTTCCCTTTTCCCTTTTTGTTTTTACAATTAATTGAAATGTCCACGATCTGGAGGTGCAGCCCAGCCCCATTGTTTCAATGCCTTGTCAGCAACTCTACTTATCTGAATGTTTACTATTTTCTCACTTTTTAAACTTTTGTAGGGGATGATCTGTGGACTGCCCACGAGTACGCACTCAGCATTGATGGCAGGCTCATGGTTCAGAAGATACCAGACGTCCCTACGGCATAGGCTGCGCACTCTTTGCGAGTCACTATTGCTTTAACATCTGCTACGCTGAAGGCCTGTCATCGACCCTTGAGTTCCTTCAGAGGTAATTTCCTGTTCTGTGATTTTGGTATATGTATGTGGATGCCTAGTAGGACTCCATACTTTTATCTATATCATTTCCAGGCTTATTGTTCCTATTGAAATAAAGCAAACACCTTGCACATTTAATGTCATAAAAGACATGGACCCACCGTTGGTACCAGGGCCGTACCCAGAAAGAAATTTCGGGGGGGGGGGGGGGGGGGGGGTTTCGGGGACAACGGTGGCCATTTTGAAAATGTCTATTGTCCTATTTTCGCCTATGAATCATGTACATCGGTGGCATATAATGGAGAGTTATAGCAAACCGGAGAACCGGTCCCGGTTTGGTACCGAGTAGCCGACCGGCGCCACTGCGCGTGCGCAGAGGTGGAGATTAAAATCGGATGGCTGCAAGTGCACCGACCATGTACCAGCACTGTACCGGGGCTGGTCCTCCGCTTTGCTAAAAAGGTAATAAAAGGATACTTTCAAATCGCTTGTAACCTAAAGAAAAAAAACTGTCGGGAATTTAATTCCTGGTAATGGAAAGGAATAGAAGTTGGTGCATAACTTTTGCCGATTCACCTGGACGACCCTGTGTTTTATGAGAAGTCGCTAGTTGCCTTCGCCATGCCGCTACCACCAAGCCTAGAGGACCTCCGACCTACCACCGACTGCCAGCGAAATAATTTTTCACGTTCAGAGCAATCGCTCTCGTGAAGTTTTAAACCCCAGTTGCAATTCGTATCCATTCTATTCGTACTTAGGTTGAGGGCACAAACACGAAATCTGCGCATATCTTGAGTGCTTTGCGGGGTTTGGTACATCAGGGCCATACCCAGAAAAAAAATGTCGGGGGGGGGGGGGTCAGAACACCCTAACCCCCCCCCCCCTTAGTTACGGCCCTGGTTGGTACCTTCCTTCTCATTTGTTAAATAGAAGAGCACATATCTCGCTGATTGGAGAGCTGTCCCAATTGTTTCCGCCAGCTCGAAACAACTATAGCTCCCACATCCTGCACCAATGCTGTACTTTTTATTGAAATTGCACCCGAGCAGAGTCCACAGATCGAGTGCATGCGTTTCGCCGCAAGGCACTGCACATGCAAGATGGAGGCAGGTGAATAAAAACCCTTATCTGCTCTCACAGTCAATCAAACAGCTTCAATTGCATGTATGCATAGGCCAGTGGTCTTGGTGTTTCATCAGGCAGCTGGACTGGATTGTAATAACAAAGCTCAGAAATCAATTTTAGGGAAACATTTAAGCACAAAGCTAACACTGCCTCAACCTGGCTTGTAAAGGTGAAATAAACAAGAAAATAAAAAAAAAATAGAGCTTATCTTTCAAACTGATTTGCCCCTTCTGACCATTACATGTCATTTTATTGTGCCCATATACAACGAAACAACTCCAGCAATATTGCATATTTTGATATGCTCCCGCTTCTCACTGTAACGTTTTTGTATACAAGCTTAGTGTTTGGTCGCACCTGTCATAACTTGTGGGTCCTCAGGTTAGGAGAGCTGTAATAGGGAGGCATGAAGAGACGCATGCGGCTCTCGAGCCGCAGTTTGGACCCACCTGATATTCTCTTTACTAAATATTTGACTTTCTTCTAGTCTCTCCCTTCGGTCATGTATACATATGTGACACATATGACTAAATTGACTAGCTTTTCAGGTTACCAACTTGGATGAAATGTTTCTTTTATGGCACTGATGCTTATTGCAGAGGTTTCCTGAGCATAAACCCTGACCGTGGCACCAGAGCCAAGCGCTCCAAGTCAGAACTGAGCAAGAAAGTACTTAACCTGGTCAAGAAAATAGCAGAGCTGGAGTGGAATGTGTGAGGCTGTAAGTATGATTCACTACAGTGTTCACTTAATAAATGGGAAGTGGACATGAGACTCATTTTGAAGAGAAGCAGAAGAAGGTGAAACAATTCAATGAGCGTAAGAGTCCACTGTCACTAGAGAGGAAGAATAATTCTCAGAGATAGATAGATGCAGGGATACATTTACCACTAACGAAGGGTATCTGAAGGTTTTGTAACAGACCACTGTCTTAGCAAACTACAAGCCTTACTCACTGGTATAGTGTGTTTGTCTGCCAGTGATGGATTTACAAAAAAAAATGTTTTCACTTTGTTTTTTGCAAAAAAAGAAAAATTGAATTCGGCGCTTGATTAGTACTTCTCGTGAGTCGGCACCTTTATCAAATTATCTCTGCTGGATAGCAAAACAATGATATCACACAGCTTATTTTAGAGCAAAATTTCCGGCTGTAGACAGGTACCTTGAAAGGTTAGTTCGTGAAATATTGAAAGCAATTTTGCAACTGTTACCCGTCTGGGAGGGGATGTGATGAGGTAGTTTACAATAATGGTTCTTCATTGATTCTGGCGAATGAGTGTATAATTTATGAAACGTTTGGGTAAAGTTGCATGAATTCTTTAATGCTGTGAAAAGGGGATGTCAGGTTTCAACAAATAATGTGTTTTGCCAGTCGAGTTTGATGGCAAAGGCCAGTGACTAACACTCTGGACAGACTGACATGTCACACTGACAGATGCAAATAGTGAATAAATGGTGGTCACTTAGCCATGATCCATGGCATCTAGTCGCCATTGTTCCAAAATAATTTGATGGCCTAGTTAATAAACATAAAACACCAAACTAGTGCAAAAGACTCCTTAATTTTTAATTTTATTTTTATTAGTTTATCACTTAAGACTTTTCCTTATTATTTTTTATTATCTTTTTGTGATATATTTTTTTGTGATTTTACTTTTTTCTTTATTGTATTTTTTTTCTCTTCCTGTTATATTAGCGTCAATGTTGTCTTTGTCTTCCTCTTTCCTCTCATAAAATATCAGTTGTAAGTAGTGCTCTGTCCTGTCTCATTCTTTCTGTGTTCGTCTTTTGCGCTGATATTGTGCATAATTGTTCGCAGAGTCCCACCCAGCTTGTCACCATTCTGGGAATAATGGGATCACATAACCATCATCTGTGTGTGGTCACCTGTCCATACTGCAAATCGTGAATCGTTCATAGTCAGACGGTCACATAACCACACACAGCATGCATCTGAATGAGCCCAACACATTCTGACCTTTCATAGCTTTTGTGAGCATAATCAAGCTTGCCTAAATTTTTTCTTACATTGTTGTGATACTGGTCATGCCTACATTTCACCACACATTACTTCAGCCCATTATTATAGAAAGCAGTGAATAAGACCCTGCTTCATGGCTGGACCATCAGAGTGGGCTTGAGCAAATAATCAAAATTTATTGCTGCTCTGGGCAATATACTATTCAATTTTACTTTTGTAAAATTGATACTGTGCTTTCAAGTTTGGGAATTTTCGGCAATATGTGTGGTCTGTCCAATCTAGTTAGCCACCACCGTTGGGCGCACTCTTAACCATACACTTGTGCACCACAAAGAGGTGGTACCCACAGGTTTCACACTGATTCTGCATATCTCATCTCGCTGTAGCAGAGGCTCATGCTTGGGAAGGAAAGTTGTCATTTAAACATATGGTCCACATGTCTTTGAATAGAGAGGGAAGTTGAGAAATGATAATCTGAAAATTCTAAGTTCGTGTAAGATTTCAAAAACCAAGTTGTTTGCTAGTACAGGGTCTCCTAAAAAGTTCACGCACTAACATGGCCCACAAATTTGAACATGTATATTATTTAGTGCATGGATTAAATGATGGAGATGTTAGTATTGTTGATCACAGTGTGGACATATGAAGTAGTAATATTTCTTGAACGGATATATTACTAGTTAAATTTACATGTTAGAATAAACATAAAAATCTTTGTTAAATGCAATTGTTGTGAATAACTATATTACAGAATTTTTGTCCCTAAACTTGACACTAGTGGTAACACAGGGGTGGGAAAGGAAAGCAGGCATTGTCTTCTAGTTTTGACAGGCAAACAGATGTATCTTAATGTAGTATTCACAACAGAATGAATAGGAAGTGTGCTTTCGAAATCCAAAACTTCCTTTTGTTGCTTGAAAATATATTTTTGGCTGGCCCAGAAGGTGCTCCGAAATTACTCTGACCGTTTACATCACATCAGCACTAGCTTGGAGTTACTTTCCTTGATTTTTTCAGTCTGTGGTTTTCTACTCATTCTGTTCTGTTTGAATATGTCTGTTGAAGGTCGGTCATCCTATGTGGGAACGAGGCATGCAACATGGAGCTCGAGCTCATTCAACACAAGATCTTGGCACCAGGAAGATTTCAGCTGCCATAAGCAATGGCACTTGGGTCTAAATTTGGTGAGTATGATAATGATCGAGCACCCAGCTGCTTGTGTGAAAACAAAATGGGGGGACACTTATGCTCGGCCTTAATGTATGACACGATAGCGGGAGGGCAGGGGGTGGAGGAGGAGAGGGGAGGTGGGGGGGGGGGGGGGAATCCTATGATCCCTTGCATGCACAAGGGATCGTGGCGCAAAACATCGAGGGGTTTTCTCGACATGCCGACGCTGGACGCCGGTTCTTTTGCTGCATTAACACTATTGGGTTGAAACATAACTTACCTAGCCTCACTTAACTCAAGCATAGCTTTACTACGCTGCCTATAATTACATGAAAAAATGTCTATGTGATGCTAGAAATGAGACATGATTAGCATGCAGTCATATATTTTAAGAGAAATGATGCCATTGCTGTGCATCATTTCATGCATCTTATTGTGCATCTTATACATGGCAAATATAGGTCGATAAAATGAGAAGCATGTAAGTGGCAGCTGCATCACAAGCTGTCCATGTTTATTTTGGATATCATCTCAAATTGAAGTTCTGAGCACACTGCTTTAACCATTTGTTTATCTGAAGTGACACTAGGTACAGTGCACAGAGATTCTACTGCCAGCTAAGCCTGACGTTCGCAGCTCGCCCTGATGCAACCGGCCACGACTATTCATATCTCTTATGGTGTGAACATGTCGGAGAAAGATTAATGGTGCCTTTTCATTAGTGCACGGTGGCAAGAGAATTGCAGTCTCTGGGGGTGGGGAAAGACTAGTTCTACGTTAGTGCCAACAACAGTCAACCAGCTTAACTAGATGAAGAGGAGGAGTAAATTTCTATGTGTGCTGCTTAATTAATGTCAACCCCTGATTTTGAAAACAAACTCACTCAGCTCCTAAGTTGACAAATGTCTGTCTAGTAAGTGAATAGTAGGCTTTCCCATAAAATAGCTGTATTTTTGTGCAGCATTCTCTGCCAAACTTTGTGCATATCCTCTCATTCATTTGCCCAGGTATATAGGGGCTGTGCTGGGATACTGATATGGTATTCGAGAAAACCAGAATACATGTACTACATGGCTAATATATAGCTACTGAGATATAATGAAGTTTGACTTGATTAGGAGAAGCTAAGCTAGAGGGGGGGGGGGGTCCAGTTGTCACATAAAGCTTCTTTCAAACATTGTAAGCAATATCAGCATCATTAGTTTCTTTGCACAGTGAATAAAGCGTGGCTAACATTATACAACATATCTGTTAAATTGCTTCTATTTTGGCACATTTATATATGTTATATTGATGACTGGTTTCTTTCTTTTCCAGATCAGAGGGTATATGGACCTGGGTCCTCATCATCCAAGTAAATAAATGTTCTGTTTTTATTTCTATCCTACACATAATTTATGCTGTGTTCCGGCTTAATTGCATTTGCATGTACATACACAACGATCGCATTGCAGACATGAAGACCACGCTACAATTACAATAAACAGCATGCCACATATATTACAGGCACAAAATGGCTAACCTAAGGAGACTTCATGACCCATTGTTTGATTCATTGTCTGTTGACCAGTAGTAGGAAGTAAATCGAAGCAGCAAAACATGTGCGGTGAAATGCTAAGTATGTCGCACAATGCGGTGGGAAGATGATAGAATTCGACAATGCTTACTTATGTCGAATATTGCATACTTTCTGACGTGTTGTACGAAGTGCTAGCGCTTCATTGTGCCAGCATTTTGCACCTTCAATTTACTTCTTACGATGGCCAATTGGCAGTGAATTAAACGGTCAACATTTTTACGGTGACCATTAAATTAGCAGTCAGTTGACCGGCAAATAAACTGCCACCATGCCGTGATCTTAGCGGCAGTCAGTAAATTTCGTTTACGGTCTGTTAGCATCGCCCCGTAAAATTAACGGTATCTTTTTTTACTGCGACCGTTTAATTTACTGGGAGATTACGGTCAGGCAGTAAATTTGAATTTACGGTCTGCCGTATAAATTACGAGAAGTTGCTGGCAGCCAGAATGCCAGTCAACGTACCGTAATTTTGACGGCCCATTTTTTACAGTGTAGATATTATGCAAGGGACTGTCGGCTCAAGAGGCAGACGTTTTAATAGATTCTTTATCGCACAAATTCAGCCAACTCGCCGAATTGTCTTCACGTGGACATAGTAACGTGAGCACGTGTACATAGATATTATGCAAGGGACTGTCGGCCCAAGAGGCAGACGTTTTAATAGATTCTTTATCGCACAAATTCAGCCAACTCGCCGAATTGTCTTCACGTGGACATAGTAACGTGAGCACGTGTACATAGATATTATGCAAGGGACTGTCGGCTCAAGAGGCAGACGTTTTAATAGATTCTTTATCGCACAAATTCAGCCAACTCGCCGAATTGTCTTCACGTGGACATAGTAACGTGAGCACGTGTACATAGATATTATGCAAGGGACTGTCGGCTAAAGAGGCAGACGTTTTAATAGATTCTTTATCGCACAAATTCTGCCAACTCGCCGAATTGTCTTCACGTGGACATAGTAACGTGAGCACGTGTACATAGATATTATGCAAGGGACTGTCGGCTCAAGAGGCAGACGTTTTAATAGATTCTTTATCGCACAAATTCAGCCAACTCGCCGAATTGTCTTCACGTGGACATAGTAACGTGAGCACGTGTACATAGATATTATGCAAGGGACTGTCGGCTCAAGAGGCAGACGTTTTAATAGATTCTTTATCGCACAAATTCAGCCAACTCGCCGAATTGTCTTCACGTGGACATAGTAACGTGAGCACGTGTACATAGATATTATGCAAGGGACTGTCGGCTAAAGAGGCAGACGTTTTAATAGATTCTTTATCGCACAAATTCAGCCAACTCGCCGAATTGTCTTCACGTGGACATAGTAACGTGAGCACGTGTACATAGATATTATGCAAGGGACTGTCGGCTCAAGAGGCAGACGTTTTAATAGATTCTTTATCGCACAAATTCAGCCAACTCGCCGAATTGTCTTCACGTGGACATAGTAACGTGAGCACGTGTACATAGATATTATGCAAGGGACTGTCGGCTAAAGAGGCAGACGTTTTAATAGATTCTTTATCGCACAAATTCAGCCAACTCGCCGAATTGTCTTCACGTGGACATAGTAACGTGAGCACGTGTACATAGATATTATGCAAGGGACTGTCGGCTAAAGAGGCAGACGTTTTAATAGATTCTTTATCGCACAAATTCAGCCAACTCGCCGAATTGTCTTCACGTGGACATAGTAACGTGAGCACGTGTACATAGATATTATGCAAGGGACTGTCGGCTCAAGAGGCAGACGTTTTAATAGATTCTTTATCGCACAAATTCAGCCAACTCGCCGAATTGTCTTCACGTGGACATAGTAACGTGAGCACGTGTACATAGATATTATGCAAGGGACTGTCGGCTAAAGAGGCAGACGTTTTAATAGATTCTTTATCGCACAAATTCAGCCAACTCGCCGAATTGTCTTCACGTGGACATAGTAACGTGAGCACGTGTACATAGATATTATGCAAGGGACTGTCGGCTCAAGAGGCAGACGTTTTAATAGATTCTTTATCGCACAAATTCAGCCAACTCGCCGAATTGTCTTCACGTGGACATAGTAACGTGAGCACGTGTACATAGATATTATGCAAGGGACTGTCGGCTAAAGAGGCAGACGTTTTAATAGATTCTTTATCGCACAAATTCTGCCAACTCGCCGAATTGTCTTCACGTGGACATAGTAACGTGAGCACGTGTACATAGATATTATGCAAGGGACTGTCGGCTCAAGAGGCAGACGTTTTAATAGATTCTTTATCGCACAAATTCAGCCAACTCGCCGAATTGTCTTCACGTGGACATAGTAACGTGAGCACGTGTACATAGATATTATGCAAGGGACTGTCGGCTCAAGAGGCAGACGTTTTAATAGATTCTTTATCGCACAAATTCAGCCAACTCGCCGAATTGTCTTCACGTGGACATAGTAACGTGAGCACGTGTACATAGATATTATGCAAGGGACTGTCGGCTAAAGAGGCAGACGTTTTAATAGATTCTTTATCGCACAAATTCAGCCAACTCGCCGAATTGTCTTCACGTGGACATAGTAACGTGAGCACGTGTACATAGATATTATGCAAGGGACTGTCGGCTCAAGAGGCAGACGTTTTAATAGATTCTTTATCGCACAAATTCAGCCAACTCGCCGAATTGTCTTCACGTGGACATAGTAACGTGAGCACGTGTACATAGATATTATGCAAGGGACTGTCGGCTAAAGAGGCAGACGTTTTAATAGATTCTTTATCGCACAAATTCAGCCAACTCGCCGAATTGTCTTCACGTGGACATAGTAACGTGAGCACGTGTACATAGATATTATGCAAGGGACTGTCGGCTAAAGAGGCAGACGTTTTAATAGATTCTTTATCGCACAAATTCAGCCAACTCGCCGAATTGTCTTCACGTGGACATAGTAACGTGAGCACGTGTACATAGATATTATGCAAGGGACTGTCGGCTAAAGAGGCAGACGTTTTAATAGATTCTTTATCGCACAAATTCAGCCAACTCGCCGAATTGTCTTCACGTGGACATAGTAACGTGAGCACGTGTACATAGATATTATGCAAGGGACTGTCGGCTAAAGAGGCAGACGTTTTAATAGATTCTTTATCGCACAAATTCAGCCAACTCGCCGAATTGTCTTCACGTGGACATAGTAACGTGAGCACGTGTACATAGATATTATGCAAGGGACTGTCGGCTCAAGAGGCAGACGTTTTAATAGATTCTTTATCGCACAAATTCAGCCAACTCGCCGAATTGTCTTCACGTGGACATAGTAACGTGAGCACGTGTACATAGATATTATGCAAGGGACTGTCGGCTAAAGAGGCAGACGTTTTAATAGATTCTTTATCGCACAAATTCAGCCAACTCGCCGAATTGTCTTCACGTGGACATAGTAACGTGAGCACGTGTACATAGATATTATGCAATGGACTGTCGGCTCAAGAGGCAGACGTTTTAATAGATTCTTTATCGCACAAATTCAGCCAACTCGCCGAATTGTCTTCACGTGGACATAGTAACGTGAGCACGTGTACATAGATATTATGCAAGGGACTGTCGGCTCAAGAGGCAGACGTTTTAATAGATTCTTTATCGCACAAATTCAGCCAACTCGCCGAATTGTCTTCACGTGGACATAGTAACGTGAGCACGTGTACATAGATATTATGCAAGGGACTGTCGGCTCAAGAGGCAGACGTTTTAATAGATTCTTTATCGCACAAATTCAGCCAACTCGCCGAATTGTCTTCACGTGGACATAGTAACGTGAGCACGTGTACATAGATATTATGCAAGGGACTGTCGGCTCAAGAGGCAGACGTTTTAATAGATTCTTTATCGCTCAAATTCAGCCAACTCGCCGAATTGTCTTCACGTGGACATAGTAACGTGAGCACGTGTACATAGATATTATGCAAGGAACAAGAAAGCTAAAAATCACAGCGGGGAGAAAAAAGGTCGCCAGTAGTTTGAAGGCATCCGTGGGTGAGTCACGTTCTGTAACAGTTTGTTGCTGCAGTTCAGTTTTTTGTTTTCCGGCGGCGCTCCAGCCCCAGGAATCTCCACTAGAGAAAGCTGCCAAGTACGTCTCAGTCTTAATGAGCGATAAAGTCAGCCCCCACGCCCGGACCTGGGAGCGCTAAGGCCTTGGAATCAACGCCAACTTGGCATTTCTCTGAGACAAGCGACGACAGAAGCGAAACAGATCCCCGTGCCTTATCGCACCACGAGCAACCGGCTACTATTAAAACAAGAATACTGATTTGTGATCGCAACTATGTTGCATATGGTTTGTGATCGTCTTTGTTGGCATTTATTTATTTTAACATGTTTAGGAAGTATGTTTTTATTTAGTTTGTTTTTCAATTTATTTGTTAGTACCTTGAAGGCCCTGGGACAGGGCATTATACAAGGGATAAGCAGCTCATATTTGTAGGTAAAAAAAAAGTGTAAACGCTCATGAACAACAAAACAAAAATATTTCAACAAACCATAAAAAAAAATAGAAAAATTTCAAACACTTACATTCAAAAATACTAGTCCGTTCGGAATTCCAAAAATTAGCCTAGTATTTTTTTTTAATAAGTCTATATTGTTGGGTAGTTTCAGGGATGGGCAAAATACATGCAGATATGTATCGAAATACAAATACAAAATACTTCGTCAAAAATGTATTTAATTACAAATCTAATTACATTTCCAAAAAAGCAGTTAAATACAAGATACAAATACAACCAAATGTATTTGGTCTCCTCCCAAATACTTTTCCGAATACG